TTCACATCCTTCCAAAAGTTGTGAATGTATACAACCACACTTTCCACAGAATACTAAAAAATACTCCACATGCCATTCATAAGTTGCAAAACATTGAAGATATACGAAGACAGTTTAAGGTCATGTATTTAAACAATGACCACCCCATAATTTCCATCAGTCCACAACTGCAGGTTGGGCACTATGTACGACTAGCAAAGCGAAGGAATATATTTCACAAGGGCTTTTGGCTCCAAAATACAGAAGAAATATTTCAAGTGTCTCATATCGATAGAACACAACCAATCCCAACCTATAAAATCAAAGATTTAACCAACGAGCCGATCAGTGGTATGTTTTATGAGCAAGAATTGATTCCAACAACGCTTCCAGACTATTTTCCCATAACGATATTACAGTCTAGGAAAACATCGAAAGGACACAGAGAATATTTCGTCAAGTGGAGAGGGTACCCAGATTCTAGCAATTGCTGGATTAAAGCTGAAGACATCGTCAAATTTAAAAAAAAATGACAGTTCATCAGGACTCTCTCGTAGAGAAACACCATCAACTGTTATTTTTATTAAACAATTTATCACCCAAGAAGCGGAATAAACTAATCAAGGCTTTAAAACGACAAGAAATTGAATCAATTTGTGAAATTTTTGCCAATTTTCTGAAACGAAACATCCCAGTTCAACCTCAGATAATTAATGGATTACAGAGGTATCAGAATGACATTCGTTCTGTAGCACGTAAGAAAACTCCATTGTACAAAAAGAAAAACATTTTAACCTCTAGGAGAGGTGGCACTATATTGGCTGCTCTGTTACCTTTGGCTGTATCGTTAATTTCCTCTCTAATAAAGTAATTACGTAAGAAGAGAAAAAAATGGTGAAAGAATATTCCCTAGTACCACGACTCGTTGCTGAAAAATATATATTTAATTAAAACGAGAGTACTCCATTGCCTCTTAATGAGGTGGCTCCACCCTCTTCCACCAGTGGTAGAAGTGGAAATAAGTCCTTCTCTTTAAAAAACGAAAGCAAATGGGGCAATTCGGCTAATAATGTTGGTGGTAGCTGTAAGCACCTTGGCTGTGACTCTAGCGGTGGTGATGATGGTGTGGGGAGAGTGGACACTCCCCCCACACCCCCACCAGCAACAACAACTTGTGGACGGTGTTGCCACGGTAACTCCTTTGAACGTTATAGCCCTACCAGACGGGGGGGACTGGTCAGACAACCTTTAAAAGATATTGCCCACCCCCCCTGCAGCGCCCGCCGCCGCGCATGTGCCCGCCGCCAAAAACGCAGGACAGGTGCGACCGTCGCCCTTTAAAAAAACAAATAAAAAAAGGATACATTCCATTCTACCGCCTGAGATGCAGGTAGCTGTTGCTGGGCCCATTCGCCACAAAGCCACCACCACCACACCCCAAAACCCAAGTCTGGACAAGTGTATTTTAAAATAGGGGAAATTCCCCACGTCAAAACATTATTGAACATGTTTGAACAAAACAGTCAACAGGTGGTATGGGATAGTCGCGGGAATTTATTAAAGCCTGTGCAAAATTTAAATATTTTAGATATAATTAAAACTTTAGCCTTTACTAAAGGACAATTTAGGACGGCTGACAAGGCAGATGTAAGGATTTTACTGAAGGTGGCTGGTGTAGACCCATCCTTTATACGTAATTCTCGCGCCAGATCACAGTTAAAAGGGAGTAGGGGTATCCATAGGAGGCCCCATTGGGAACCGTATTGAAAAAAAACTATATGAAGCACATCTTAAACGACATTATATTCAGTTGTGTATCCACCATGGAGAGAGCTTCAACCCCCCCCCCCTGCGGCAGTAGAAGAGGAAGAAAAATCTCCCCTATTGAAGCGTTTGGTTGCTACTCAACGTTACTACAAGTTTGTCGAACACAAAAGTAGATTGATATATGCCTTATGGGATTGTTATGACCGTCTTGTGTTGAGTGCTCCCCCAGAACGGGTTTTTAAGTCATTTGGAGAAATGGTGAAAAGGTATGAGGAGTATTCATCTCAGGAGATCCAGACAGAGATTTGGCAGATGGAAAAATTAACCTTCCAACATCGGGATATGATTACAGCCTTTGAGTCTGGGCGGAGTGTCTATGGGCTCATAAGGTGATCTCTACCCCCCACCCCTTCATCCCTCTTCCCCCAGGTGGGTCACAGGTGTATTTAAAGGTCGCCCACCGCCGCTCCTGGAACACTATACTACAGTTGTCGACACGCTCCTCTCAGCCGCCCTCTCACCATGTCTCTGGCGTCTATCAAGACCATCGGCGACGATATCACTGACTCCCACACCTTTGGGGTGGGAGATGTGATAATCTACGACCTCCTAGCTGCCGTTGTGCGACCCTATGGGCTGGCTTCCGTCATCTGGAAGACGTTCTCCTATGCCCGTGTGGAACGTGAAGGACTGGGTAATGCCAATAGGGCAATAATTCGTTGTCGGTCTACCCCGGGGGACATTGTTGTGAAGATAGCCCCTCTCCCCTCCGACGGACAATTAAGATCTCATAGAGGAGCCCGTCCTTTTCTTCAGGCCCACTTTTGTGGGGTTGATTTTTGCATTCGGGGCAGGAGCCCCCTTCGAGTCAAACCCAATAGCCCAGGAACAAGTGCAGACTTCCGCCGACACACACTACGTCACTAACGTCACCCTGGATACCGCCAAGAACCGCAGATACTGGCTCAAGATGAGCCTAACAAAGGTGGGCAATTTAATGGCGGCAACCCCAACCATGACTCGACTAGTGGTACCCTACGGCTTAGGGGCTTCCCGCAACGGTATGGTCAACTGGCACAAGGACATTGGACCCATGCTGCTGTCTCTTCATCAAGAACTCGCCAAACTCAACAAAGAGTTAGTCATCCTCAAACGACCTGCTGCTGTTACCCCATCAGTGGTGCCCCTCCCGTTCGACGACCCAAGTGCTGATAATCTTACTATAACGCTCGACACCGTGGTGGGAGAGGGTGGTACCACACCAAGAATCTCTTCTCGTTCTACACCTCCAGCACCACCAGCCACACCCAGGAAGAAGAAACACTCTCAGGAATACGGCTCCACCTCCACCGCCACCCCTCCACCACCCCCTCCACCACCCCCACCACCACCCCCTACAGCATCAACTTCAGTTAAACGGAGGATTGAGCCACTCCTCGACTTTGAAACGGGGACGAATCGCCGTATCGACTCCATCTTCGATGGTAAGTCACAGGAAATATTCCTGTTATCCTTCCCCCCCCCCTCCCCCGAAAAAACAACAAAAGCTGTAACCACCACTCCAGTAAAGAAGTTGAGGTAGTGCCAGCTACAGTAGCCCCGGCAGAAGCAGCAGTGGAGGTAGCAGCAGCCAGCAGTAGTAGTAGCGAGGGGGGTGTGGTTAATCACTATTCTTAAAAAAATGTGTGGGAATCTTCACCTGTTGTAGTTCTTTAAGTAGTTTAATAAAATAAAATATAAGTTATGTTGTTTATTTTCTCCCTTCTTACAAAAACCCATCCCCTGTATATTGGCCTTTCAGTACATAACGGGACAATGGGGGAAGAACATTACATATATCTTACCAGTCTCGATCAAGGAGATATTTACAACAACACGAGTTCAGCATTTACAAACACCATCCCAACACTACATTTAAACCCTTCAATTAAACATGAAGTGGCTTTAGTCAACATACTCCTCCCCAGGCGAATTAATGCCATCATCAAAGATGAGGAGGACTCTGGCATAGATATCTATGCCACTTTTAAACGTGGAACTCTTTCTAAGAGTCCAGAACACCTAATATACACCTTCCACCCAAAAACCAACATATTATCAAGAAACATCAAATTCATTACAGACGTGGTTAGTCGGCAAATAACCACCGACATGCAGCTTAGCTTTAGGGATGATTTCAAAATATACTTCTCAGATAAAGAACCAATCCTCACCTATGACCAATCTGTAGAGAGGGTATTACTAGCTTCAACTCTTAACAGTGGAAGTACTGGCTCATTAAATTCTCTCAGCTTTCAATTTAAACACAGAATAGCTAATGTACTTGGTTTTGACAGCAGTCGCAAATACACCATTTATCGAGCAAAAACAGATGACATTACGTCAGCCTCCAAGACTGTGGCCTTATCGCCCCCAGACATTGACGGAGGTTGTGACTATTTACTCATTTATAGTGACGTCATCGAGCCGGAACGATACGGAGGGCAGATTGTAAATATCTTAGATGCAATCAATTATCATGACTCATATTCTAGAGGGGCTCACCCTCTAGTGTACAAAACATTAAACACTAACACGTTGGAGAAAGTAAGTATTAAAATAACAGATCAGTTTGGTCGAATGGTTAGTTTTGAAGATGGGAGGTCGGTTACGGCGGTCTTACATATCCGCCCTAAGGTATAGCAACATATATATAAAGAAGTATTTACGCTCGACTTAGGTTATTATAGGAAGAGACCTCAGAATGCGAATACCGTTCCACCCACCCTCCCAGGGGGAGTTCCGGGAGATGTTCGCACCTTTCCCTAGGAGACATGGGATGAGAGGGGAAGCGATAAATGACATACGCACATTCCAAGCGCCTTATCTCAGATCTGGTGGAGGTTTCTTTGGGACCTTGGCTGGTATTGCCCGACGGGCCATACCATTTTTCATGAAAGCTGTAACACCTAGCGCCATCGATTTTGGGAAAAATGTCCTTGGTGATTTAAGCAGTGGTAAACGGGATGTAAAGAGTGCTCTGAGAACTCACGGTATTGATGCTCTTAAGAGTGTGGGAAAGAAATTGGTAATGGGGGGTAAAATTAAGACTCTCTAAGCGAAAAAATAAAAATAAAAAATGTAAACGAGGTCTTGGGTATAAAAATGACGTGTTTTCGCTAACGTAAGCAGTCATACTTCAACTTTCGGAGGGGATCATGGGGGAGCCTAGCGGAGCTGGGGTGAAAATACCACTAGAATATTATAGCTCCAGTATTATTGACCAATTTCCTAGAAGTAACAGAATACGTAATGTGGAGAGTTCAATTGCCTCTACGCAGCAAATAGACGTTCTACCTGTCAACCTCCCCATTAATCAACGTTTGCGGGATAATTACTTAGAATTCCGCATCCCTGGAACCCAGGGCGCCTTCTTAGATCTAGCTAATATTGTTATAGATTTTAAAGATGACGATACCACAAAATTGGAAGAGGATGACCATGTGGAATTTGTGAATGGGTTGTCAAATACCATGTTTAAAGGTGTTCAGGTTTTTTTAGGAGAGCAGGTAGTTGAAACAAATACTAATTTTAATTATTGGTCGTTTATTAAATTAATTACCTCCATGCCTCCATCAAAAATGTCTTCCTTGGGTAGAATTGGAGGCTTTCGTAGGGACTGGAGAGATGACGATGGTATAATCACTAATGAGTTTACAAATACTTATTTTACTGGAGCAACCGCCAAGGATAAAAAATTTATGGGTGATTTAAAAAGTAAAGGTTTGTCGATGTGTTTCCCCCTCCTATTGGATATATCATCCCTAGACCAATACATATTAGATAATATAGATATGCGACTAAGATTAGAGCTCTACCCCCATGCCTGGGTCCTAAATACAAGAGTGGACGATGGCTCTAACTATCGCCTGCATATGGATTATGCTAAGTTATGGGTGACGCGGGTGTTCCCCTACCCAAGTGCTTACCTGGCCTTAAACAGCTCACTGTTAGCATCCCCTGACCCCATAACATATACTTTCAATAGAACCATTTCTAAAACATATGTTCTAGCAGGGAATCAAACTAGTCCCTTAATTGATCAACCATGGGCGCAAGTAATTCCACACAAGATATACATGATAATCGTTCCAATGAATTATTTCGCCGGTCTTCACCAAGGTAATGGATTATATTTTGAAAATGCAAAGCTGAAAAGTATTGCTATGTATTTGAACAATAATGCAATTTTCCGAATTGGTGGCGATTTCGATAACCATTATTCCCGCCTTTATTATGAAACTTTGAAGACATTAGGCTTAGAGCGTGATTCACTACTTGCCTATGACTCTTTTAATAAGGGAAGATCAATATTCGCCTTTGACTTAACCACCATTCAAACAAAGGATTCCCTCCCTGTGGAGAAATCTGGCAACTTGCGTATGGAGCTTGAATTTGGTGGCGGTGTTACATATAACAGACTGGTTTTACTGTTTTGGGAAACGACCAGGGTACTATCCATCGACGGGCAGAGAACTGTTCTGTGTGATGTACGAGCGTAAAAAAACATAATGAATTGTTATGATATAAATATTAATTTAAAAAATAATCTAGGGGATCGAGCACTCTACCTAGGTTGTTATAATGCTGATGAGATAGAACATTTAAATATCTCTTCAAGAAAACCTATTGTTTTCATAACTAATATTTTACCATCACACAGCAGAATCACTATGGGACATTGGGTAGGAATTTATGTTGATAAAGTTAATCATCGGATGTTTTTTTTTTATAGTTATGCAATATCGCCGGTTACTTACGGGCGTCATTTTCAAGGGTTTATTAAAACTAACAAAATAAGAAAGGTGTTTGGAATGCGCTACAGACTCCAGAGTAATTTTACTCTTGCCTGTGGATTGTATTGCGTCATATTTGTTCATCGAATAAGCCACCTGGGGTTGCCTTCAACAGTACATTACTTTCTTAATGTATTTTCAAGCATTACTTTAAAATTAAATGATAAACGAGCCCTTGCTTATGCGAGACGATATTTTCCTATGAAACATCACTGTGTTAGGACATTTTGTAGAGGTATAGGAGTTGGTTCTTATAGGTGGTGTAGAGAATATTTTTGTTAGCTAGGCAACCTACCTAACAAGGGGTGTAGCCTCCTATAAAAACCCCTCTCCCCCACCCATCCCCCTCAGAAGACTGTCTTCCTCCTACGAAATGGGAGGTGTCTCTCAAAAAACACCTGCGGGGAAGATTGAAGTCCTTGAAGGACCTGGTTAGTATTACCCTATCTTTTTGCTAATAGATTTATTTTATGTTTATTTCCCTCAATAAAAAAGTTTGTATATCCTCTATTTCACCTCTTATATTTTTCTCCAGTGCAGTTCTTGGGACCCGTCCACATTTGTAGAGTAGTAATTCTACGTGGGGGGTCTGCCCCAAACAAGATGCTGTTACGTAGTCTAATTGACGATGCCTGCTGTAGAGAGCACAAGGCCGCTCCTGCAGGGGGAAAGGTATGTACTAGTTGTTCTTAGAGAAAAATAGAATATTTTTCTAATAAAATATATAATTATATAAAAAACCTTTAATCACTATAAATTATTTCCCCCATCTCTTTCCAGAACACTTCCGATGAGAGAGAGGAGGAAACTCAGCCAAAAGGTGTCCACCCAACTCACCCCACCCCCCCAAGAGAGGGGGGGGATGGGGCTCAAGACCTTCCCCCACTTTTCACTGACGAGGAATCGTAACAATTCTACTCAGACGAGGATGGGGGTGTGGGATAGGAAGGGGGGGTAGAGCTGTAGTAAGTGAAATATGGCAAGAGCACTCTGTAAACTACAATTATTAACTAACATAATTACTTATACATTTTGTGGTTTTTACCTAATAAAGCATTTAATAAATTATTTGATGTTTTTTTTTAACCTTTGGGGGGGGGGATTTATAATTTAATACTCCTTAAATACTCCTATATAAGGGAGGGGCCATTCAGACTTGTTCGAATATATATATCCTTAATTAGTCCTATATAACGACGTAGTGTTTAAACGGAGATACCCAGTGTAAGTGAAATATGGTGGGGACTCACCGTAGACTACAATTTGAGGTGGGTCTATCTGTCACCCCGCCTCTGATTCCATTGTCTGATAAGTGGGCCTATCTGGCTCCCCACCTCTGATTCCATTGTCTGATAAGTACCCCCCATTGTTTGTTAAGTGCCCCTATCTGGCTCGGAATATACTACTGTACCATGAACCTCAACAATGGCTATAGTACCATGAACCTCAACAATGGCTATAGAACAAAGGCTTAAGAACATTACGAGTGGTAAATCTGCCAACTACACCACTGTTATGTTAGACAGTATCCCTGTGGCAGTCCATTATTTATTAAGGGGGATTTATTTAAGACCGGAAAGTAGATCTTTTGTTATGACTATAAATCATCTCTGGAAAAAGTGAACGAACCTACTTCTCCTCCTAGCCAAGCATTCTGTAATAGTTTAAAGCATGAGAATGTGAGTAAACAGATTACGACCAGGCCAAAGTTACCTTTAGATTGACCATTGCAAAACCATTGGAGAGTACTTTAAGTCTATTTGAAAGTGGATACGGAACTTTTGTGTGATTTTTTACTGTATGACATAAAACGATGCTGAAACTATACAAGTTGGACATTACACATTATGTCTCATTATCAAGTTTTGCATGGGACGCCTTTTTGTTGAAAAGTCAAGATGTTGTGGACTCTTTTTCTGATACCCAATTGTATGATGATACCCAATCGTTTCTCATTCTGATACCACAGAAATATTATGCAGAAATTTAAGAGGTGGATTTACCTTGGTCGTAAGACATTATACTAGTGTCGAAAAGGAACATAGAGGAGCTGTCCCCTCTGTAAATGAAAAATATTGTTTGAATTTGGATTTTAATTATTCATACGCCACGTGTATGACAGAAATGTTTCCCCAAGGTGGAATTAGAAAATTATCTGCTGCCGAATGTGATGATTTACTCGAGCAAGGATTGGAGAATATTACTTACGATGTGGATTAGGATTATTGGATCATGTGTGGTACTAAACATGTCAAGCTTTAGGTGGCACATTACACCAACGATTTTTCCTTATTTAACTCTTTCCCATGCAAATATTACTCCTGATCTTCTCTCTTATTTTAAATACTGAAGATAGGAAACTTAAATATATATATATATATATATATATATATATATATATATATATATATATATATATATATATATATATATATATATATATATGTCGTACCTAGTAGCCAGAACTCACTTCTCAGCCTACTATTCAAGGCCCGATTTGCCAAATAAGCCAAGTTTTCCTGAATTAATATATTTACTATAATTTTTTTCTTATGAAATGATAAAGCTACCCTTTTCACTATGTATGAGGTCAATTTTTTTTATTGGAGTTAAAATTAACGTAGATATATGACCGAACCTAACCAACCCTACCTAACCTAACCTAACCTATATATATAGGTAAGGTTAGGTTAGGTAGCCAAAAAAAGCAAGGTTAGGTTAGGTTAGGTAGGTTAGGTAGACGAAAAAACATTAATTCATGAAAACTTGGCTTATTAGGCAAATCGGGCCTTGCATAGTAGGCTGAGAAGTGAGTTCTGGCTACTAGGTACGACATATATATATATATATATATATATATATATATATATATATATATATATATATATATATATATATATATATATATATATATATATATATATATATATATATATATATATATATATATATATATATATATATATATATATATATATTTAAGTTTTCTTAAGGTTAAGGTTTCCTGGGTTGATTTTGCATCCTTAAAATGTAAATATGAAAATTATAATGATAAAAGGGTTGAAAAACGTAAACTTATTCACGGGAAGAAAATGTGGAACTTGGGTATACCTTCATTTAATTCGGTGGACTCTGATAAGGTGGTTTTCAATTTTTCAAAGATAATTTTGTCTCCCATTGAGAAAGAACTTCTCTCTCTGGGGTTAGACTTCGGGTTGACGTGTAAAAAAACTAAATTTGTTAATCATTTTTTAGGTTTTGAGCGGTTATGCAATACATTGAAAACTTGTACCCTAAGGACTGGTACAAATTATAGTTGGACCAATATCATCAGTACTGTTTCTTCCTTAGCACATGAAGTCTTTAATGACTTTGGTAAATATAAATTTACATTCCCTCCTTTTGACAAAAGGAAATTGGATTGTATTAATGGCTTAAAGAATGATAGGAGTATTTGTATTACTAGACCAGATAAAGGTAGGGATATAGTGGTTTTGGACAAGTTAGAGTATGTGAATAAGGTTGAAAGGTTGTTAGAAGACCCCTGTAAATTTACGTTGGTTGATTTAGACCCCTTTTCGTATATTTTGAAATGTGAGGATAAACTAAATAGAGTTTTAAGAAGTCTGAAAGACTCTCTCTTTGATAATACAAAATTACTTGCAACTGGCTCTAAGCCAGGCATCTTATACGGGTTACCTAAAGTTCATAAAACAGGTATACCGATTCGTCCTATTTTATCAGCGATTGGCACTTTTAATAATAAACTGGCCAAGTTTCTAGTTCCATTATTAGAACCATTAACGCATAATGAATTTACTGTGAGAAATTCTCAGGATTTTGTAAAAGAACTTTCCTCTTTAAATTTTGAGTTCCCAACTATAATGGCCAGTTTCGATGTTGAATCACTTTTTACTAATATAAAAATATTCAGACGGCTGTTAGAAATAGCGGTTAAAGACTCCGTCTTTATGTTTAATAATAAATATTATAAACAAATTGATGGAGTAGCAATGGGGTCTCCTTTAGGTCCTGCACTGGCTAATGCTTTTTTGAGTTTTCATGAAATAAATTGGCTTGATAAATATCCTTTGGCCTTTAAACCAGTCTTGTACAGGAGATATGTAGATGACACTTTTTTTGTTATTTAAGGACCAATGTCATATTGAGAAATTTAGAGAGTGCAATCTTAATGCACAACATAGTAATATACGTTTTACTGCAGAGTGTGAAGTGGACAATTCATTGTCGTTTCTTGATGTAAAAGTGAATAACCTTAATGGGTTCAACACTAATGTTTTTAGGAAACCAACTTTTACTGGTTTAGGTTTAAATTTTAATTCTTTGGTTCCTGATATTTTTAAGAAAAATGCAATTAACACTCTACTGAATATGGCCTTTGTTTTATGTTCAAATTGGAATAACTTTGATCAAGAAATTAATTTTCTTGTGAATTTTTTTTCAAATAATGGTTATCCTCTGCATATGGTTTATACCTTTATAAGGAATTTCTTAAATAAGAAGTTTCTCCCATCGTGTAGGATTACTACAGTAGAAAGGGATCTTAAATATATTAAATTACCATTTTATGGCACTATTAGTTTTTCTGTAAGGAGTCGTTTGAGGAGACTGTTGCAGCATTGTTATCCTCAAGTAGACTTTAGATTTATTTTTGTCAACGCAAATACCATAGGCTCTTATTTTAA